GCGCGGGGCAGCGGAGAGGAGCCGGTGGCTGCCGGGCAGGTGAAGCGTGGGTGTGAGCTGTGCCGGGGGGCCGCGGCTGGCTGCCCCGAGGCTGAAGTGCTCTTGTTTGCTTGTCTTACCACTTCCCCCCCTTCCCTGCTCTCCTCCAGAGCACCTGGAGACCGTCCCGGGTCCCAGCGAGGCGCCCCGGATCCGCTTCGTCTTCAACCTCAGCAGCGTGCCGGACAACGAGGTGATCTCCTCGGCGGAGCTGCGGCTGTACCGGGAGCAGGTGGAGGAGCCGAGCGCGGCGTGGGAGAGGGGCTTCCACCGGATAAACATTTACGAAGTGATGAAGCCGCTGTCGGAGCGCGCCCAGGCCATTACGCGCCTGCTGGACACGCGGCTGGTGCACCACAACGTGACGCGCTGGGAGACCTTTGATGTGAGCCCGGCCGTCATCCGGTGGACCAAGGACAAGCAGCCGAACCACGGGCTGGTGATCGAGGTCACCCACCTCCACCACGCACAGACTCATCAGGGCAAACACGTCAGGATTAGCCGATCTTTACCTCAAGGGCGCGGGGACTGGGCGCAGCTCAGGCCGCTCCTGGTCACTTTTGGGCACGACGGGCGAGGCCACGCTCTGACCCGCAGAGCTCGCCGGAGCCCCAAGCACCAGCGTTCCCGCAAGAACAAAAAAAACTGCCGCCGCCATGCCCTCTATGTGGATTTCAGCGACGTGGGCTGGAACGACTGGATCGTGGCACCCCCGGGGTACCAGGCGTTTTACTGCCACGGGGACTGCCCCTTCCCTCTGGCCGACCACCTCAACTCCACCAACCACGCCATCGTGCAGACGCTGGTGAACTCCGTGAACTCCAGCATTCCCAAGGCTTGCTGCGTGCCCACGGAGCTCAGCGCCATCTCCATGCTCTACCTGGATGAGTATGACAAGGTGGTCCTGAAAAACTACCAGGAGATGGTGGTGGAGGGGTGCGGGTGCCGCTGACCCCCTTCCCTGCCGCCCTCTCCTCCCCTTCTCTCTCCCTCCCGTCCCACCCCAGAACTGCTTGCTATAGCTGGACTCTTCTCTAAACTAAACGTTCACCTTGACCTTATTTATGACTTTATGTGCAAATGTTTTTGACAATAATGATCATATATTTTGACAAAATATATTTATAACTACGTATTAAAAGAAAAAAATAAAATGAGTCATTATTTTAAAGGTAAATGCATTTTGTGTCTCGCCTCTCAGGGTGCTGCTGAGGCTGTGCTGGCTGGGAGTGCAGCCGAGAGTTTATTTTGTCTCCTTATCTTCTTACCCCCCTCCCTCCTTTTCTCCACTCCTTTCCCTCCCTACCCTTTTTTTTTTCACTTAAAGGCTTTGCAAATTTTAGTCTTTCTATTTCTCGCCGAGGTACCGCGGATGCCCTGGTGCTGGGGCTGTGCCACGTGGGAGATGAGGGGCCCTGGAGATTTAAGAGCCGCTGGGAATAGAGCCGACCTTGCTAACCTGGCCCAAGCCTTTCCAAAGCAACCCACCAAAAATGCATTTGAAAAGAAGGTGAAGATTTACCTGAGGGCTTTATGCTAAACCCGCTGGGTTTTATACCCTTTCTCTGACTTCAGGACTCCCCAGGTTTTAAAACTATTAACATTTTCCCCCCTCTCCTCCCCTCCCCACTGGAGATTGGGAAGCTTCAAAGGTTTCCACAGGTCCTTTGAAGATCAAATCACTCCATTACAATGCCAAAAAAAAAAAGAAAAAAAAAGATATCTGGAGCAGTTAAATGTGTGTTAGCTAATAGCTACCTGTGCTGTGTCCTTTCTAAATTGCTTCCGAGCAGGAAGGTGATTGGAGCTGGGCAGGTACGGTTGGAGGTATCCAGGGCCTTAAAAACCCTGCCTCAAATGCATTGGAGGGGCTGTGTTTGGCTGGGAAAATAGGGAGCTGTGCTGGGATGGGAGGTGTGGGACCATCGTGGGAATGGGGAAGGGACAGCAGGGTGAAGGGTGCGTGATGCTTGCTTTTTTTCTTTTTTTTTTTTAAATTTTTTTTCTTCTTTTCCTTTAATGATTGAAGCTTCCCAACCCTCCGAAAGGGGCAGCTTAGTTGAAACCAATAAAAAAGTGGAGCGGAAAGCTTGCCAAAAGCCTTGGCTCCCTGAAGAGTGCAGGTGGAGAGAGGAGATGCGAGCTGCGGGAGGGGGAGGCGAGCGTGGCCCTGCGCTTCTCTTGGAAAGGAAAATCCCCAGCCCTCCATCTCCTCTGTGCCACCGAGGCTTTCCCAGCCTTCCATCCCAGCTGTGTTCGGGCCACAGGGTCCCACCTGCTGCCCTCGGCTGTCTCGGGGTGCTGGGGGACCCTCCGAGGCTCCCAGCACCCCATGGAGGAGCGATGGGTGTTGGGTCTCCGGGGCCCCCTCGGCCCCGAGCTGACACTCTCATTCCTGCCTTTAGAAGGGAAATGTGTGGCCTGGGGCATCGGCGACCTGCTGCCTCCCCTTTGATGCCTGCATATCAGACATAGCCATGCCAAAGAAAGAATTTCATTTTGAAGTGGCATCAGCTAAAGGCGAGCGCCTTTCAGCTGCCTGACAGGGCAATTACACACATCTCCCTCGATAACCCCGGCTGCTGCGGGGTCGGGTGGGAAAAGGGGTCTCTGGGCCCCCAGGCAGCCCTGGATGTGGGGCAGCCACTGAGGGAGGGTACCTTGGAGAAAAAAAAAAAAAAAATTAGGAAAAAAAAAAAATCACTTTATTGGCTTTAAAATTGACTTTATCAAAAAGAGGCTTCTCCCAGGTTCACTGCCCTGCTGGTCGCTGCATCCCGGGTTGTCCTGGAGGCTGTGAGGGTGTTGTGGAGCTGAGCAGCATCTGCACAAATGCCTCTTGGATTTAGGTCATTCTTGCTGGAGGAGCCTCCAACTGCTCTGCTGCGTTCCTGCTGCTTTATGGAGCTGTTTATTTTGGTGCTTCTTTTTGCATTGCGTTTCAATGATGAAATCAAAGCTTTGACCCTGTGGAGGCACAGGCACTTGATTTTCTGTAGGTGCTGCTCTTGTCCTGAGGCCTTTGGGAGATTTTCTTTTGCTTGGGCTGCTGAGATCCTGCATGGGGTGTTCTGTTCAGAAAGTGTAGGAAAAAAGTCAACTGTTTATTATGTAGAATTTATAGGAATCTAACTGTGGCTATAAACCTGCTGACAGTAAATGTAATCTCAGGGACAAAATACTCATGGATGCATTGAGGAATTTGTTCATCATGGCTGAAGTTTTGCATTTTACACAGAACACAGGGGCTGAGGGTTCTCCTCCCCGTCTGTGTCCTTGTCACCCATGGGTGACAAACTGCTGCATAACCTTGTGTGATTGGAGAGGCACCAAATTTCTCAAACTGCTAAATCATTTAAAAATAGGAAAGCACACCAAAACTGTAGTGAAGCCAGAATTAGTTCCTTTCTAGTTTCCATCTGACAGCCAGTGATGTTTTTTCCCCACCACTTCAATTTGTGCTGGGTTTTAATGGTGTTGACCTGAGCTCTCTTCACCATCCTGACTAGGAGGAGCGGGGTTTGGGAAGCTGGGATTGAAGCACTGGTGTGGAGAGACCCTGGAATTCCACACAGTGTTTCTGGCTATTGTTTTGTGCATTTCTTGCAGCAGTTTGGGGTTTAATCCCGTGCTGGAGTTAATGTGGTGACCGATCCTGTGTGTTTGACAAGTGCTCTGTGCCGTAGAAGCGCTGGTTTGGTTCCAACAGGGCAGACCTGGAGTGAGGCTTCATATCAGGCAACCAGTGCTTATCTTTGCTTAAAAATATGACAAATGTATCATGCCATCATCCCTCTGACCGTGGAACTTTACTCTTTGCAAATGTGACTTATTTCAGAGCCAGAGCTGTGTTTGTGTTGGCTGCTGCAGGGATCCCTGGGAGGTCTGAGATAAGGCATATCAGTTTAATCCCCCCCTTCCTCATTCAGTCCAAGCTGTGAAATGAAAGGGGAGCAGGTTGAAGGTGGGTGTGCAGCCACTTCCCACCATCTGGTGTCCTTCTGGCAGCTGTGCCCATGGACCAGCATCCCCAGAAGTGTGAGCTGGATGGGAGATGCTCTGCAGCTCACCACGATGAGATGTCTCTGTGCCTTCCCCAGGAAGGCTGTGGCTTTGGATACCTTAAATGTACTGTCTGTGTGGCTTATGGATATAGGAAATGAGGAGATCTCAGTGGGGTTTGCCAGCTCCCTGTGCTCCAATGGTCACAGTGGTGGTGGTGAGAGCCACTGGATGCTCTGGAATGATGAGCACAGGTGAGAGTGTGGGGTCAGGTGTGCTGGAAAATGGGGTCCCAGGCTCTGCCATGTGTCAGGAGCTCCCCCCAGAGACCTGTGGTTACACTGACCCCATCCCCAGCCCTTTCCCTATTGGCATTAGGATCCCAAGAGTCTTCAGCCAGGACTTTCTTGTCCCAGGGGTAAATCCACCCCCAGCCCAAGTTGACAGCATCACATTGAGCCAAGCTGCTGCCCCAGAGGTGCCGTGGCTGAGGAGGCAGCACGGACAGCCAGGTTTTGCTTGTAGCCACGGGGACAGAGGCTTTGCAAATTAGTTTCTAAAAATGCAAACGGTTTTGGAAGAGAAGCACCGAGGTTTGCACATTGCTATTCTGGGAGGAGCACCAAGGCTTTGCTGCAGAGCCAGCAAAGGAGGATGGGGCCCTTCCCTGCTGCTTGGACACCTCTGGAAAACTTCTCGCCCATCCCAAAATGATGAGCGCAGTCAGGCTGGGGTGGTTCGGAAATCTTGGCATCAATGGAGACTTTGTTCTCTTTATCCTGGGGTCTCACAGCATGAAAGCAGGTCTGAAGATCCTCTTCTGTGGAGTCTGTATCTGAAACCACAGGACCAAAACAGGTAAGATGTCACTGACCCCCTAGAGATAAGGGTCTTGAGCACGGAGAGATGAAGAGACTTGGGCAGAGTCATGTGTGAAGAGCAGGCAGAGCCACAAGAGGTATCTGACACCTCAGCCCCTGTCCTGTGGTATGGCACAAAACTCTTCTCTGGTCTAGAGTCTGGCCTCCTGAAGATCCATCACTTCACCTCAAACCAGAGGTGGATTCCTGTATAATATAATGGAGAGGAAGCTACAAAGTCCATGTTGTTTTCTAAACAGTAGTGATAATGACAGGGAGCATCAGAAATGGCCCAGACAATGCTCATCCACTTCATGGATCCTGCATTCAAGTCAGAAAGTGTAAAATAGGACTTTCAAAACCTTATTTTCACCTGGCTTCTTAAAGAAGTGCCTCAAACTTGCTCCTTAGTTGACTGCAGAGTATGTACTAAGACACAATCAGAGAAGGAAAAATTCCATCACTTACACCTTAGCAGAGCTCAAGGAGGTCTGAAGGTTCCATGGGGAACTCTGCTGGATCAGCTGTGAGTCATTTATTCCACCCACCAGATGAAAAAAATGTGCTGGGACTTTGTTTCTGAGTGGTCCATCCAGAACTCTCCCCAGCTTGGAGCCCTGTGCTGTTTTTCACAGATTCAGCATTTTTCATCCACTGCCTGCTGCTCATGCTCAGATTTCCTGTTTTACACAGGGATACCAAGGTCCCAGTGGTCCCTTGTGTTCTCCCAGAACTCTGGTTTGGCCTCGTGGAGAGCTGCTCTGAGCCCATTTGCTGAGCAGTGGCAGTGGAGTTAATGGGATCTGTGTCCTTGAGAGGCATCATGGAATCACAGAATTCCTTGGAATAGAAGGGACGTTTAAAGGGCTTGTAGTCCAACCCTTGCAATGAGCAGAGACATAAAATCTCAGAATGATTTGGGTTGGAAGGGACCTTAAGGCTCATCTCATTCCAGCCTCCTGCCATGGGCAGGGACACCTTCTGCTATCGCAGGTGGCTCCAAGCCCTGTCCCAACCTGGCTTTGGGCACTTCCAGGGATCCAAGGGCATCACTCCCAGCCCCAGAGCTGTGTTAGAGACCACAAGGGCTGCCTGGACCTTTCATTCAAACAAGGCCATCACCAGTAGGATTTCATCCTAGGAAGAACTTGTGATGAGCTGTCCAACTCATAATATCAGAGTGCCAAGGAAATCCTTATCCAAACCCAGCCCTGTGCCTTGGATCCATCCATGTGCTCCAGCTGTGGCTGCATCTCCAGGTGCTTTACACCATCAGCATTT